AAAGGGAAGAACACGCTCAGCATTTCTCAAACTGAAAGAACTGAAGAAAAAATTTAAGCCTCGAGTTGCAATAGTGAGAAATTCTATGTGATCTATATATAGACAATTTACTTTGATCAGATAGCACATCCACCCTGCCTCTAACACCCCCTGGTATATATCTCTTCATATTTCTCAAAGTAAATGCATTTTTAGGGGACAAATATTTTTATATTATTTAAAAAGTGAAATCATATTTATGTCTTCAGCTGAAATGCAAACTGTACTGTTAACCCTCAATCACTCAAGAACTGAATCCCCCAAATCCTATTTCCCATGTCAAAATAATTGTCAACCTAGCATGCCTTTCTCTTGCTTATTTTCTAGTTATGACAGCTAGATGACATGGCACTATTATGTTTCAAGTTTCATTTTAACAGAAAAATATAAGTGAATTATAGTGAAACACATCCATCATTTGATCTATTGCATAAACAAAGCCAGGGAAGTTTCAGTTGAAACTGTATAACTCCAACTCCCAATCCCTCCTTACAGAGTTGAGAGATGTATGTAGATTAGTGCAAGCCTGCTTGTTTCCTGGTAAATTCAAAGGACTAGACCTTGTCTTTATCCTCCCTTTATGTGTGAGTTCCAGTGAGGAAGTATTGTCAAGCAGCAGCACCAGCTATCATTCCATGCTCCAGGACAGGCATTTGGCTGTTAACCAGAAGGTCAGCAGTTCAAACCCACCAGCTGCTCCACAGGAGGAAGATGAGGCAATCTACTTCTATAAAGATTTACAGCCTTGGAAACCCAACGGGGGTTGCTATGGGTCAGAATCAACTTGACAGCAGTGGGTTTTCTTGGTAGGACACCATGTTGTACAAAGTTGGGCATTTTGATGCAGATTTAAAAAATAACTCACTTCAATGGTCTTATAAAGTACAAATATATGTGCAAAACAAACATCCTGATTTTACTACTGACATTCATTTTATCTTGGAGCCCAAAAGCCTGGCAATGGTCAGGAATGTGGCATAAAAACCCACTGCAGTTAAGTGGATCCTGACTCAACCAATCCTGCCTACAAGATGAGGTAGAAACGCCCCCATATTGTTCCTAAGACTGTAATCTTTACAGAAGCCAACTGCCACATCTTTCTCCTGCAGAGTAGCTGGTGAGTTCAAACTGCCAACATTTTGTTTAGCAGTCAAGGGTTTAACCACTACACTACCAGGGCTCCTTGGAATGTGGCGAGGGTGGATATTTTTATATGACTTTTATTTGAAATTAACTGACTTGTTTTTGTGGTTATAAGCAAACTGCTACTAAATGTCCTATGTCATTTGGAATACCATTTCATCTTTTCTATACAACATTGCCACCTGTCCCAGTACTATTTATCAACTAATAAAGCATTTAGTCAGTACTCACGGCAGATCATAAAAATCACACTTGGCTCTACACCCATAAATTCACAGTCACTGCCAAATAGACAGAGTCCATGATTTTGTCTCACCGCCACATAGATATCATAGTAGGTTTGCCTTGAAAAAGCTACCTTAGTTTTCTCATTTTTGTTGCTAGCTATCGTGGTGGCCAAATGCACAATGGAACAAAATGCTATCTGGTCTTTGACATCCCCGTGATTGATTGCACATCAGACTGTTGTGATCATACGATTTTCATTGACCAATTTTAGAAGTGCATCATCAGACCTTTCTTCCTAGTTCACGTTTGTTGGGAACTCTACTGAGATCTATTCAGCATCATAGGAACACACGAGTCTCCACTGACAGATGAGTGGTGGCTGTTGTGCGAGGTGCAGTGACTTAGCATAACAAATATGAAGGGGTGGAAGACAACAGCAGTTGGAGCAAATGGAGTGGGAGCATAGTGCAAGCTGAAGGTCTGTTGGCCACATCAAAGGAGTTCCACTTTTATCCTAAAATCAATCCCCAGTCTCCTGCATGGAAATGAAGAGTTCTACCACTGAGCCACCAATTCCTCTGCTCTGTCACTACATGCCATGATAACAGAGTGTTTAAGACATACCTGAGCATACCTGAGATACATAAGCCTTGGCTTTTGGCATATTTTATGTACTAGGTGTGACATGGAAGAAAAACTCATGAAAAATATCCTTACCCGATAGATGGAGAGTGTTTGTGCTGTTCAAGGAACTGAAAATATATTCTGTAAAATAGTCTGAAGAAGGCAAGTTTATTTGTCCTAGACAAACATTTTGGAGGGACAAAGCAATGATTGTCGCAGCCAACTGAGGAAGTGTTTTTTCATCAGCACCTTTGCTACTTTGTATTCCAGATTTTTCCTGAAGGAGTTTGGTTTCCATACACTGAAATCCAGATATAAAGTAGAAAAAAAGTTAGTCTCTAAATTCATTCTGATTAAATCTCTAAGATTCCCCCAAAAGTCAAAGAACAGCTATTCATCTGAAAGATGATTGAATTATTTGTGGTAATGTGGTTGTCAATATTCTATAGTCTCAGATGTAAATCTATTTAGAAAATAATTATTCACTTTATCTGAATTTTCTAACCCCCAACATTGGTCTTCATTCATCCAGTCTTTCTCATTATCCTTTTAAAGATGTGTTTTTTTCTAAGAGGACCCCCTGTTCTTATTTACTATTGACATCCTTTCACTTGGTGAATTGTTTCTCTCCAGCGTCAGGTACAGCCCACTTTGGCTTTATACTGGCTCTGTTCCCTTGTATTTTCACAGAGTACCTCTACTTTAATAGTGGTCTTTAGTCACAAGTTCAATATGTGCTAATTGCAAACCAAAGCCAGTGTCCTACTAGTATCTGTGGTCTTTAACCTACCACCTTTTTAAATATGTGTTTGTCAATTTTCTCTATTATATTATGAGCACATGAAAGTCTACTAATCTTCCATTAGTATCCCTATTCATTTATTTAAACATTTGCTGACTGCCAAGCACTATGCTAAGCCAATTATAAATATGGTCCCATTTAATCTCTGAAAACTTGTGAGGTTTACATTGTTATTCCCATTTTTCAGATCACCTGGGCAGGAAAGGGCAGAGTCTAGATTTGCATGCAGGTCTAACACCACAGCCTAGATTTTAAGTCCTCTTCCTCTTGTAGATAAAAATAAACTGAAATACAGGATGGTGATGGGACTTTCATATGGTCAAAATTAATTCCATAGCATAGTGCTTCGAATAGGCAGATAAGGCTTTAATATGATATCTACCACCTACAAACTGGATGACCTTGGGCAAAATGTTTAACCTTTATATTATCATCTGTGAAAGGGGACAATACCACCCACCTCAGAGTTCATTACAATTAGATAATATATGTATAATATTTAATAGAGTTCCTGGTACATAGGACATAGTAAATCTTAGCTACTATCATTATTATTCAGTGTGTGGTAGTGTACTTGATAAATAGTAGGCTGAGAAGGAGGCAAGAGCTAGATCAAAGAGAACCTTTTATTTAATGCTATGAAAGGAATTTTCCCAAAGGCTCTAAACAAGCCACTGAACACCTTAAACAAAAAAATACTACAATAGATTTGCTATATAAATATTACTCTGGTGGCAAAGTAAACAGATTGACAGGAGTATAATATAAAGCCAAGAAATCTGGTTAAGAAGTTATTGATGGGAGGCGGGGCAAGATGGCGGACTAGGCAGAAGGATTGCACAGACCCTCTTCAACAAAGAAAAGGGAAACCAATTAACACAGACACAGAAGATAA